CAAATACTTTTTTAGAAATGTAAGCACAAATATTTGATTGATGTTTTAGGAGTTTAATTATAATATGCTCCTATTATGATGAACTACGTGAAATCTATACGACATATGTTTAAATATGATATACAATACAATATGCTGTACACAATATTATTTTATATACCTTTTTTGGTCGTCGTGCATTGCCGCTTGCTGTCTGTTGACCAGGCGCAAGAGCTAGTTGAATCGTCGTATATCAGACCCGGTGGACACGGCATCTCATTGGCCACGCCGTCCACGCAATTGACGAATTTGTCACAGGAACCTTCGTCCCAATGCCTGTAGTAGCCGTTGGCTCGGGGACAGCCTTTTGACGGTTTCGGTTCCTCTGTTAAACGATTAATAAATAATAATAATATTTAATGAGTGATGAAATTAAAATCATAATATGTACAGGGGATCATAATGTTATCAAATTATACGTAACAAGTAATGCGGATGATGGTGATCACGTTCTCAAATCAAATAAATAATACGTCATAATATGATATCCGCCAATTATGTAATGACAAAATTTGAATACGTTGTATACATATCTATAGTATATATATATATATATATACATACATACAAGCTTACATGTATTCGGTTACTCCGTATCATAAGGAGGTGTTGTGTAGAAGATGACAATATAATACTTTAAACTGTTATACTCAAAAAGCGTTTTAAAAATTTAATAATGTTTATTAATTGTTGGTTACTTAAATAAAAATGATGTGTATGAAAAAAATGTAGGTATCTAATGCCTAAACAACGTTTTTCATTATTTTAATGAATTTCCAAAAAAGAATGTTTAAAAAAAAAAAAAATAAAAATAAATTCTTCAATAATATTTAGAGATACTGCAGTTGTACGCAATATAGAATTTACATTTTGTCTATTATTAAGCTATAATAAATGTTTTTCCAATTTATCAATAAAAACAATAGGCATGTCAAAGTAATTATTATAATAAATTTAATTTCACGATATATACCTTGATAGATACCACAGTGTAAAAGAGAATTCAGATACCAAAACATACAATTTAAAAAACTTTGAATTGTGATTCGTTGTATACGAGTATATGGCAGTGCCAGTACTATACCTACACTTTAATAAATCAGCCCTTTTTTGAAAAAAAAATTAACGTCGTTCTACATTTATGCGCAGGGCAGTCTCACGAGTTCACACATTGCAGACATGTTTTGATACGTTTTTACGTTTTAGTTCACCACCAATACTTCATTGCATACTATTATGCGATATCAATCCACAATATAACCGAATCGTCTAAAACGGCCAAACATATGTCAAATCAGTCTATACACAGTTATTACTTCAACTTAGCTCCTATCATAGTTTTATTTAATGGACGACTAAATATACATAAATTAGTTGTTAATATGATAAGCACTTACGCTGAACAGTCCTCTGGCCGCAGTCCACGTTTACAGACGTATCGCATTTCTCGTGAGTCGGGCTGGTGTCGTCGAACAGCAGTCCGTCGGGGCAAAGTTTTTCCGTTATTTCGCCGTCCACAGAGCAGTGGTAGTACAGATCACATTGTATCGGATCAGCATAGAACCCTGGTTTCTCGGGACATTGGAATTCACGGTTGTTCTGTTGTTGTCCGAGCGCTAGGCCTACACATACACACAAAAATTATATTTTATTATTGTATTTACTATAAGTAATGTTAGATGACAGACATAAAAAAAATAATTTGTTTTTTACATCGTATCAACTAAGTATTGTCAGAAATCGATTAAAAGTATAAGTGCCGTTATCATCTCGGTCAGATGCGAATTTACGTGCAAGTAACACACATAATATGTGCTCTTTTTCATGAAGATATTACGTTATTTTTAAGTTAAAAATATTGTGTTGTAATTTATTAAGAATTGGGAAAATAATTTAAGATATAGGCAATCAAATAAAATAAAAAAAAATAAAAATACATAGTAATATTCTACTGTGATAAAATTGATCTGAATCTGCTTCCGTACATGAAGTGCTAATTTGACAACTAGTATTGCCTGTCTTAACGGGGCGTTAAATGCCGAGTCCAAGGGATTTATGCTATTATATACAATGCCCGATGAGACTAGGCTGGAAAAAAAACGTGCGCGCACGTGCATTTCGCGTATACTTATTAACCATATACCTGCACGTATCTTGACGAATAATATAACATATTAGATGACGAGTATCCCGTGTGTGTAATAACAATAATAATATCAAATATAGTAGTGGATAAAACACGAGCAACGTACGATATATTATTAACGTAACGATATACAACGTGTATAACTTGGTAGTTTTGCGTACACACCGGATTATGCACATACAGAAACGCGAGTTATCATAATTTCACGTTGCTAGACTGGCGGGTTTCGCGTAAAACCATATAATAATAAATGTTTATATTTGACCATTACGCACATACCACCGCGGTATATGATATATCGGTCGGTATCTCAATATTTTATAATATCTGATATTTGTATAGGTACTTACCCGCGAATAGAACAAGCGCAGCGGCGTTAGCGGTCAGAGCGTGCAGAAGCATCGTTGGTAAAAGGCGAGCGGATTACGAATGGACCGGGTCTTCGGGCACGTACTACAACCAGCTATAGGTATACCCGCCGCGGACGGAAGACGGACGAAAAACTAGTCGGCGGAACCCCCGCGTACGACTTGTCGCGACCTCTGTTGTAGTGGTGCCGGCGACGGACGACAAAAGGTTTTTGAACTCCTGTTCGCTACAACATAATGTGTAATGCGATACACGTACGTGACGATTTTCAATGGGCCCCGTGTGAGAACGTTTTTAACTGCTGCACTCTGCGCGCGATATACAATATTAATAACAATCAAAAATATTATAATATATTATGATGGGCGCACAAAAGAGGTACGTGACGAAATAACACGGACGCGTATAGTTGTACATCCACAACCTATGCTCCGGACGATTCTTCGACGAGTGTAACGCGTATAGTGCACCTGTATCACCTATTTATATTATAATATATTACATTGTGTGTAATGTGTATAAGCTTTACCCGCCTCCTGACCAGGTTTATTTAATCTCACCCGGCTGTTTGAACACTCTGCGGAGATCGTTAATCGAACAATCGACTTTTATGATATTCGCAAGAATTTGCTTCCATAATATAAATATATGATATATTATTATGTAAATTGTCAACCATTTATATTTATGAGATGTTTGAGAAACCGCTGCAAACCGCAACACCAGCCTTGTGGCTCTCTATAATTCTGCAGTAGCAACTAACTAAAACATTATAATATTCTGTTGCACAGAAGTATAGTTAACACTACGAGTATTAGATAAAAATATATTATTAACGGGTACAAACACGCAGCTAGATACCACCCTGTATAATGCACACACTGATTGGCCGCTGGGTAAACGTACATAATATTTGATTTCCTGACAATGCGTTTTATGCGCCGTTTACGGACATAGGTAACACGGGCGTAACCGAAAATACTGAAAGTGACCTTTACATATTTGTATTCGCCCAACGGCTGTAAATCGTAATTTAACGCTACCTGTATTACGACGTTCGACGATTTACACGTCCGCAGGTCCACCTATGAAAAAATATAATTAAACGAATTCAATTTGATAAAAACTATTAACGAGTAATTTATATTTACGGGTTGACTTTGACGAAAAACGACTATCCACAGAATTTTAATTAACGTATAAATTTCTAATGGTTATTACGAGAATATTTTAAACAGAAACAACGACGTCTGACAATGTCACGGTTGTTGACGTTGTTCAAACCATATTATTCCTGGACCCAATATATTTGTGGTATGTATAATATAATATAATACATGTGTTTACAGACTATATATTATTATTATTATTGTTTAATTTTTGTTTTCGAAATGATGCACGAAAATTATATATGCACAATATTTATCCCTCATTTTTTTTTTTTTTTTAATATGTATACGCGTCTAGGAGGCATGACTAATGGAAAATTGTGTGGATTAAACAAGTTTTCACATCGTATTAAAATCAATACACCTTTATATGTTGCGTCATAAAACCAGTGCAACACTCGAATTTGGTGAAAGCTATAGAAACTGAACTGGAGGCGTTTTATTTGAGTATTAGTATAACTAATAATTATATAATTTTAACTATATCAAAACAAAGACATTAAAACAGGTCTTGTAAATTACTAAAATAAATTATTTGATTATTAGAAAAAATATATTCAACACGTATGTTTACTTGTTTGACTATTGGTATCTTATACCTCATACCATTTATACCTTATACACTTTTATTTTATAGTGCTCGTATAAGTCAAGTATCTGTGAAAGTTTAAAAGTATGACTTTCACCTTTTTTCATTTTTAAAAACACTTTTAATTTAATTATAGTATAATTTTTATTTGATGCAACATAATATTCTGTATAGGTTATGACTTATCAGTAATTAAGTATAGTAAATATTATATGTAAATATATATAATATAAAATTATTGTAATGAAGTGGTTAAAAATTAAATGAAAACTAAACTTTTTTGATATACGTAATTTATCAATTTATAGTTTATACTGTGAATTTAATTTAAAATAGCATAGTAAATATGCCTTGTATTGTAATAATATATTTATACCTAATTATTTTAATCAATTTTCGTAGCTTAATTTCTATAATATTATATATTCCGAGGTTAAAGAATAAATTAATGAATAGCTTACAATAGGTACTAGATTTTCCAAGAGATTGTGTTTGATACTTAATAAAAAAACAAAACAATGCAACAAAAGTAATATTGTAATAAAATTAAATTTTATTTAGTATTACATCATAGTATAATATATATATTGTATATATATATATATATAAATTCGTAACAATAATGATTTTAGTTTTGACTTGGTATAAAACTATACACGCACACACACACACACATATGTATATATATAGTAACTTAAAGTATACATTTAATATGAATTATATTATGTACAACAAAACAATGTGAAACAACTATTGTTTTTTGTTCTTGTTCTGTTGCTGCTGTTGCACTTGTGGATCGTCTTTGTACCAATTCTCGCTGAAAAAATAAAACAATACGATTTTATTATGTCATATATACCGTTATACGTATAATAATAATATTACGAAAACTAAACGCTGCAATGTGCCATTACGTCGACGGGATGACACATTGCGATCACTGCACACTGGCTGTTTTTTATAATTTATAGGTACATACTATAAAATGCAACATGCGATAAAATATACAATAAAATTAGATATACACTCACCATCCAGCCACGTTTTCGGGTTGATCACATTTTTGCGACTCCTCGTTGAATACTTCGCCGGTCGAACAGCCCTGTTCTCGGGGGGTAACGCCGTTGAGGCACACGTAGAACTTCTGACAGTCATCCGGGTGCGCGAACACTGGGTGTGCCACATTCTGGCCCCGGCTGTTGTGGGTTTTGTCTTTGGGGCACGTGAATCCATCTTTCAATTTCACTAGAAAAAAAAACGGACATGGAATATTATAATTTAAAGGCTGTGCGATCCGTTCCAAATTTGGGTTTCGATCACGCAAAACAACGTCATCTTTGTCGCTATTAAAACATCATATTATGTTCCTTACTGTCGTCCGATTCGTTGCAACCCGTCCTGCCAGCAGTGGCGGGCCAGGCGCACGAGCCCGCGTACTCATCGAAATGCAATCCGTTGGGGCACACGATCTCCGTGCCGTCACCTTCGATGCAGTTATAGAATATGTTGCACACTTTTTCGTCCGGGTGAGCAAAATATCCATTGCGCCTCGGACACAAATAGTTGGACTGTGGGGTTTCTGCGGACGGGCAAAAAAAAAAAAAAAATCAGCGTTATATTATTATTATCATTATTCTGTGAAAATCCCAGTGAATGAATGATGATAGATATGCGATGATAGTACTCACGGAGTTCAGTTCGTTCGCCGCAGTCCACGCTGAACGGCTGGTCGCATTTGTTCACTTTCCTGTTCAACGGGTCGAACACCAACCCGTCCGGACATAGTTTCTCCGTGGCCACGCCGTCTTTGCACTCGTAAAATTTGTCACATTGCACTGGGTCCTCGAACTGACCGTTCTTCTTGGGGCATTGGAATTGACCATCTATGAAATGATGAACAAAAAATGTATTAAAATCCGTACACGCGAAAAAGATTTACTATACTCTAGGGAGGGTTTTTTCGATTTAGGTATATTGCATACGAAACACGGTGACGCGAGTTCGAACGCAGCTGCGGAAGACATAGTGAAAGTGAATTCCGCGCTCGACGATTAACCTGCAGCTGGCGTATGCCGGCACAGTGGGCGTCAAAATAATGTTTACCTACTAAAAAATTTTTCGAAAAATTTCGCAAATAACGAACGTCATTTATTACGGCGGGCAGGCGTTTCAACTGAAAAGTTGAAAAATTTTAATCTGCGTGCGATGCGAGTCAATTCTACAGTACATTATATTTTTTATGCATAATATCCGAACGACTTGGTTTAGTTTTCCGTGAACGTATTTAAATTTTACTCAGGCATAGAGAACCGATGATTATTTGAATGATATTGTTTTATTAGTATTTAATGTATAAATTATGATAAATATGAAGTCTTACTTGTAAAATGGGATATTCCAATAACTATCGTACACAATATTATTGAGAGACTCATAATTGAAAACTTAATGCGTGATGATATGTGCAAGCGACTGCGGCCTCGACGGAAGAACAGGAAACCATTCCATAGTTTCTCCCACTTATTGATGGCTACCTCAAGTAGTCACTTCGGCGTGGATGGGAAATCTGAGGTGAAAAAAAAATTGTTCGATGAATCGATTTCGTTACGAGGTTTTTCAACCGTAGGTACCGCAGACTTGGAGGTACTGTATAAAATTTCTAAACAATGTGAATGTTTCATACAAATAATATAATATTAGCAATGTGTACTTAATATACGAATACGCGTATTACGATCGACGTTCAACGTTGAATTATATAATGTATAACTTTATATATTATATAAATTATATATTTATATTGTCATGGAATTCATATATATCGTATATCGTCTCATTTTATTGGTAAATGTGTCGGATTAGTCGTATATATTTTTTTAAATAGATTGAAAGATTTATAATGCTGTATTTATGAAAAAAAAATTATTTTTCTTATCACTTAATTTAGTAGTGCGTCAACGTTTACGGAATACTCATATAAAATCTAAATAGGTATTTAAGTTATATTTTGAATAAGCTATATATTAATTTTTTACTCAATTTGTAAGCATTGAAATTTTCTGAAAATATTTTCTGTAGTATAAGTAATTAAAAATGTAAAATGTATTTATTTTTATAGCGTAAAAGTAAAAACTTAAAAATATTGTATTGTGACAAATTTTAATTATCTAAAAAAATAAAAATATTATACTTAAACAAAAATATTTTATACAAAAAAAAAAAAAAAAAACAATTAGAGATAAAATAAAAACTTACTGCATGTACAATGTACTTAGCGGCAACGAACCACACAATACAAAAAGTATACATTTGCGTTCTGGACTTTTGAAGACTTGCTAATTTGTCACTGTCATGGTCTATACAATTTGTATACACAATATGCGATATAGCTAGACTTTTACAAAATTAAAAATTAAAAGACTAATATATTACGGCGTGATACCTATTTTTAATATAATGCTTATCTTTTTTTTTTTTGTGGTAGGTATTTTATGAAAAATAAATTTATTAATTTAAAAAGGATTAAACGTAAAACATTTTTTTTGGCTAACAGTTTTTCTAACAGTTAGAAATTTAGAATGTTATTAAAAATTTTGTTTTTGTTTATTTTCTAAAACACACAAACATTTTTCAGTATCTTTTTATAGTTAAATCATACCACAACTTTGAACTATATAATATACCTAATGTAATATGTTCACATTCACGCTTATACAAATTCAACAACATACTCGTATGCGTATAATATTATACGCGTATGTATTTTTACACAACTATTCTCGTGTATGCCTTGGATTTTCAGTGATCGTTTTTTATTCCAGTTTTTTTTTTTTTATAAAGGAACAAAAAAAAAAATAGATCCTTCAAAGATTAATTTAAAAATATATATTTATATAAAAATCGTACACTAACCATGGCATATTGTTGACAATAAGCATATTATTACAATAGTTAATGTAGTTTAATACAGTTTTTTTCCATGCAACTCAGTATGCGTCTCACTTCTACACAAGACGCGACGATAGTTATTTTTTCTCATTAAATTCGTATAGTATCTAAAAAACAATATAATATAAGCAAGGGAGATAATACAGAATACCTTCCAGAGTGCATTTATCGCGACTTTTGTTCCCCGGTTTCCAATATGATCGATGATTTTCTTAGGTCATAGTTTTTGTATTGACATATATTTAGTTCTAATTTACCATCAAATGTGGTCTAAAAGTATATCACATATTCACATAAAATATTTTATGTTATTTCATATTAATATTACTATTAAAGTAATATTCTGCACATATTACTTTAATAATGTCAAATTGAGTAGGTATTTAAATCTCAAAAAGTGGTAGTAGCAGTTAGACACTAAATTTAATATTCCTTTTATAACCAAAGGGTTTAATTAAAATTGTTTTCCTATTAACAATTAATATATATTATAATAAAAACAATTTTAATTGACAATGTAAAAGTCTTCTACTGTAGTGATACTGGAAAATTTAACAAACACTGATGTGCGCAAACTATAATCTCAAACTTAGCATATTATATAAAATAAAGTGATACATAACCGCGTGTTATTGTATGAATTTTTTTTAGATTTTACCTGCTAACGGTTAGCAGCTAACCTAACATACAGTTAATATACCTATATATTTTTAACTAGTTTAATCGATATTTTACATAAAAATGATCATCTCTACACAGTGAAACTTATCATTCATTTATTTTCCCTATTTATTATAGTTTAATAATAAAATTGATAAAATTTATTTTTAGGAGATTTCTGAGTAGCCAGTCGATTAATATCCGTCAACACTAACTTTCCCCGAATAAAATTTTATTTTTATCAAAACATAATATGAATTTTAACTAAGCGTTTTAAAATAAATAATAAATAGATATTATGATAAAATAATCATAATAGTTTAATGAATAAACTGTAATCTAACAAAAAAAAAAATAAACCCTGAATAATCGTGAGTAAAAATTTGACTTTATTATATTTTTTCCTTATAAATTATGTATTGAAACTTGCAGTAACTTAGAGTGCCGAACCTGGACGCTTTACAGTAGAGTAGTATGGATTTTTTCTTTTTTTCTTTTATCGTTAAATCTTAAAATCAATTTATACTGAATTTCGGTGAGATTGATTTAGAAGTAGAAGCGTTGAAAAATTGTTTAAAATGTATGCTTTACTGCAGTGTAGAATTTTGTAGTTATTATACTTTACCTGATATCCTAATTGACTATGGATAGCAACGAAGCATTAGTATTATCAATAATTTAAATTTCAAGTAGACATTATGGTCAAACAGGTTGCATGATGACATTTACATTTTTTTCATTCCTTAATATAGAAAGAAATTATATAACCTAAATATCGAAAAAACAATCATTTATATTCTGTAAAAATATATAATAAATAAGTAGTCGTAGATAATTCGTGTACTTATATCATATATTTATATACTCATGAACTGTAGATAACCTTAATTAGCATATTATTATTATTTAAAATTAAAATGAAAACAGGTTTAGGTATCGTTTATTGTGAAAATAAATCATTTATTTTTAACTTCGACTTAGTGTCCAAATGAGATCAGTTTCCCTGATACAGTTATTGAAAATATCGAATTACAAAATAACAATTAGTTAATTTCATTCATCGTCTTCTACGACAGTGCGTCTTGTAGTTGGTGGTCTTGATGGCTTTCGTCTGCTCGCCGCCGCTGCCTCTTTCTCCTTCGATGTTTCTTTGGGTTTTGGATTCTCGAGATTGTAAAGTTCTTCGTCTGTCAATACGCCTTTATACCAATCGGCACTGGAAAATAAATTCGTCACGATAAATTATTATTATAATTAAATACATAAGAATTTAGCAACCCATGCATAATTTATACTGAAGCCAAAGCAAAACGTTCCGGTTTTCGAACTACCATTATGGTTAGTAATTCACGTCTGTTATATAATCTACATAATATCATTATTGATAATGTACTCAACTCGTTACTCCGTTCATTATTTACGCGAAATCTGTCAGTGGACGATTACGATTATATCGTTTATTTCAGTGGCCGAAAATATATATGTTACTTGTATTCATAAAGACGAGATCGTTTTTCGAGGCTTTTATTCTATAAATAACATAGATTTTTTTTCTTACCACTCGGGAACATTTCTCGGCCAATCACATTTTCCCGACGCTTCGTTGAACACCTGTCCCATTTTGCAGCCGTTTCTCCTTGGCGTGTCGCCGTTGACGCAAACATAAAAAAATTGACAGTCTTCGGGGTTCGCGTATCTGGGATGTTGTTGCGCAATCTCAGAAGTCACGTTGGGGCATCGGAAATTGAATACATCTATACATAATATAAAATATAATTATCAGTTGTGACGAGCATATAACATAAACCATATGGCCATAATATTACTATATTTATGCGATGGCTGATGACGTGATTGTTTAACAGTTTATAATATAATGTAAATAATCTATTTCAATAATTATAATATTATTGTTTTGTATGGTTTATAATATGTGCATTTATAATTTTTTTCGATAAACGATTTACCAGAAAGAAAACGACGTTATAGCATCGAATATATAAATAACTATGTAAAAAGCCGAGCTGCAAAAATAAAATAAATCACTGGCGGTGGGAGTTTAGCGCGTTTACCACTTGTTTTGATATCGGTCCAAAATCTCGTGCCCATTTTGGCAGTCGAACAAAAATTAACATATCCCGCGTCTGTACGTGGATTGTATAGTTTTTTCTCTGCGGTTTATTATAGCGTATCCCATGGCCGGAAACGGAATAACGTGGTTACAGAAATAGTGATAAATTTCTGACGAGTTTGTCACGAGAAAATGATTAAATTATCGCGATGAAATTTCAAATATCCGAGTATTGCAGCGGAATAGATGAAAATATTGTATAGTTTTATTATTTACCTTGCGACGAGCATCCTTTCTTCTTGGCTTCGTCTGGCCACGTGCAAATGCCAGATTTTTCGTTGTACACCAAGCCACCCGGACACGTGATCGCGTTAAATTTACCATCCACGCAGTAATAAAATTTGTCGCAAATGTTTGGATTCTCGTGTGCGAAATAACCATTTTGTCTGGGACAATGTTCAGCCGGTTGAGGCGTCTCTGGATAAAAAAATACATAAATTCAATTAATATTAGTTAAACCTTATACTATATATACTATATGTCTTGATGAAATACTATTCTCCAAAACGGCCACCTCGCATGACGTTATTGTTGCTAGTTTTTTATTTTATTGTCGAACTTTATAATTCCTGTGAGTCGACTCACGTAAAATCAATAATTTCGGACGAAAAAGTTTTTGTAGAACACATTCGTACATTATACACACTTATAGTTTATACTTTGCACTCTCGATTATTTAGTCGTATCGTAGAAAATGTCGGCATGATATTTATGGATCTAAAACAGATTTAATGTCCTAACAGCGCTAT